GTGAGCGTGGCTTCAGCTACACAAAGGACCAGAATCCACTGCGTTGGAAAACATCGGGAGGGGGTAGGAGTGCTTCTCCTGGAGGAGGGAAGACAGAGGGGAATAGGACAGCCTGAAGGGCTGTCACGGGTCAGCGCAACAGGCTTCAGCTGTGCGGCTCCGTGCTCCAGACCCAGTCCAAAGAACCCCAGTGGGCGGGAAACACGGAGAGACGGGTCACGGCCCGTCTGAGTGTGCCGCTGCCTCAGCGGGACGGGGGCTGGATGGACCCTGCAGGGCCCGGACAGAAGGACCACTGGTGGGTGCTGTCTGCGGGCCGAGTACTGAAGTTGGCGCCCCACGTGTTCCCTGGGAGGCAGGCACGACGGGCCCCACTCACAGGGAAGGAGACCGAGGCTGGGGCGGGTGGGAGATCTGGGAATAAAGACCCCACCCTCTGACCCCAAGGTATGTGCCTAGACGTGACCAAAGTGGAAAGACAGAAGCTCCAGCTGAGAGCCCACGGACGACAGCAGCCAAGGTCTGTGTGGCGCGTGGGAGGGGCCGGGCGCAATTCTGGGGGTTTTGCGTTATCACGGCGCATTCCGCCACAGCTCTTGGAGACTGCGGCCTCCGCGCCCGGCTACGGGAGGGGAAACTGAGGCACAGAGAATTTGAGTTACTCGTCCAAGGTCACTGGTTAGGAACCGGTGGCACAGCTGGAGCACACGTGATCCCCGCCCCCCACCTGAGCCAGGACGATGTGGCCTCCCAGACCGCAGTATCCGCTCCTCCCCATCCGGGGGTCTCAGGGGCAGGCAAGCCCTTTCCCCACACACATTCTTGCCATTCCCTCGGCCCCCCGCAGCCGCCGGGTCCCGTCCTTCCTCAGGCCCGCCGGCCGGCCGCTCCCGGAGCCCCGGCCCCTGCGGCCCGGCCCCACCTCTCGGCCGCGTCACTCCAGACCCTGACGAGGGCGGCTACTTTGGGTGAGAAATGGGAACAGGGCAGGAAAAAATTTCATTCGAGCAATTAAAGAATCACTTCATTTGTCACGATCAACCTCCTGGGCACAGGCTGAATGCAAAAAGCTGTTGGCCGAGCCCTTCCGTGTCTGCACCTGACGGGAGCAAGGGGGATATTCGTTCTGCCCGGGAGGATTGCACCTCCCATAAGTCTCCGTTTTATTGAAAGTTTAAATAACAGACAGACACAATGTGATCAATTAGCGGGGTAATTCCGAGGAGATGTCATAGTAAAATTAAATCTCGGGCACATTCGGGGCAGAGATGCCTGTGCCTTCTCTCCGGTCTCTTTCCTCCGCAGTGTGTACATTTTAATTGAAAGTTTATTCTGCTCTGCGCCTTGTCTACTAAATTTTAATTTAACATCGTAATGAGAAGGGTGTTTTCTGAGCAGCTCTTCGCAGACAAGCGGAGGAGGCTTCACAGACAAAGAGAACGAGGGAATCTACAGCACTTTCCAGACAGCCCCCATCCACCCACCCACCTCTGGAGAGGGTCCCAGGGCCTGGAGGACCAGCCTAGGGGACATTTGGCACCTGTGACAGCTGGCCCGAGAGGCGACCACACCGCAAAAGCAGCAAGGGGACCCAAGAGACAGGGGGGTCTCAGGCCTGGCCGCACACAGGAGCGTCAAGCAAAACCAGAAGGCGGGGGTCTCTCCTCCCTAATCCCACCTCTGGTTTCCCTCCGGAGCCTCCTCCTGGCTAAACCCGAGGGGCAACCAACTGGCCGGGTGAGAACGCGGTTTGGGGAGCCCGGCCTGGCTTTGCGGAGCAGAGCGTCAGAAGGGGCGGGTCTGGAGGTGAGAGGCGGGAGCTCAGAAACCAGAAGATACTTGTGGCAACGTCTCTTGGCCTCTCCGACCCTTAGCTGTAAAATGAGGACAGTGACGCCCGATTCTCAGGGCCGCACCGGACCGGGACGGTGAGGGGGGTGGGGGGCTACCATGCAAAGGTGGGAAGGGTTGTTCCTTTCCACTGCCTCTCGGGAAAGCCACAGGGGAGCTTCTCCAGGAGGGTGGACCCTTTTGTCCTGGAGGGTGACCCCAAGCAGGCGCTGATTTCCTGCCTGGATGCAGGCGGGTGATGCACCCCGACCTCGGACACAGACAGAGGCCTTGCCTGGAGGGGGAGGCGGTCTGAGTCTCAGGCTGCAGGAGAAGGGAGACGAGGGACACAGCCTCGTGGTCCCCAGCGGCAGACCAGCCGGCTCTGTCTCATGGTCACCGCAAGGACCCCCGTCTGGAGTCTCAGCGCCCCCAGACTCCTCTCACCTGATCGCCTGCTCCCGGGGACACCTGTGAGGTGGCTCAGGTGCAGGGAGGCGCGCGGAGGGGGTGGGGGGGAGGGGCGTGGGGGTCGCTAGTGGCCACTGCTGGCGAGAGGCGGTATTGCACCCCAGCCCTCGGAGGAAGCGGGCGCTTCCGCCACCTGCCAACGGGGCATCGAGGGGCGCCCGGAAGGGGACTTGCCAATGGTCAGGATTCAAATAGTCTAGCGCCAAGGGGAGGAAACAGCCACAGGACTGCCTCCCGCTCCTGCCTCGCTCACATCCACCCCAGCCCTGCTGCCTTCCGGCGCATCGGGGACGCACCGCACACGCTCCCCACCCCACCCCACCCCGGTATCCCTGCCGCCGCTGCCCCTGCTTGCTTCTTGGTCCCTGCTCACGTGTCGCCTCCTCCGGGGAGACCACCCTGACCACTGCATCTTTAATAGCTCACTCTTCCCACTGCACTGACTACCCGCTATTATATTGCATATCTCGTCATGTTTTCCTTCCGTGTCTCGGGAATGTGAATCCCCCGGGGGTCCTGTCTTCACTGTTCTCTGCTACGTCCCCAGCACCTAGTAGGACACGACGTGATAGTCACTCAAACATCGTGTGTTGAATTATTAGAGAGAAAGGAACGTGGCGTGACTTAGTGGCAGTCCACTGAAGGACATCCCCACACCCCCTAACAGACTTGGTGTGCACTGTGCTGTGAACACATTTCTCGGCGGGGACTTGGCAAGGGTCCCGTGGGAAAGGAGCCCACCACCCGGAAATCGGGAATCCGTCAGGGCAACCGCTGGGTCCCGCCATGGTCCATCCTGGTCTCCCATCAGTGAAGCGCGCCCCAGAACCCGGAGGGGACCCCACGTCCGCAGTGGAGGGAGCATGTCCTGTGCTCCCATTGGGGGTAAGAGAAAAGCAGAGAGGCCGGTTCCCTACATGGTATGTTCCCCTCTCCTCGTGTCCACACAGAGAACGGCCATTAAACTGTCACGGTTAGGGGCGCCTGGGTGGCTCAGTCGGTTAAGCATCCGACTTCGGCCCCGGGGGGGGGGGGGATCTCACGGTTCGTGAGTTCGAGCCCGGTGTTGGGCTCTGTGCTGACAGCTCGGAGCCTGGAGCCTGCTTTGGATTGTCTCCCTCTCTCTCTGCCCATCCCCAACTTATTCTCTCTCTCCCTCTCTCAAAAACAAATAAAACATTTAAAAAATTAAAAAAAAAAAAAACCCGTCATGGTGACATATCTCTGCCCGAGTAACAGAGGATAACGGGGAGCTAGGGTTTGCTTTGCAGAAATTCTCTTTGCTACCAGCCTGGCTTCGGTAGAACTCACTCGATGAAGCAACAGCTGTCTGACCCTGCTGTCCTCAATCCCAACGGGGCGGGGGGGGGGGGGGCAGGCCAGGCAACTAACAAGCAAGTATTTGCTAACTCGATAGCACAAGCAAGCAGACACGATCACACCTCACAGGTGTCCAAGACTTTCTGGCCCTTAGACCCCTTCGGCCTCCTCACGAGCGTCTCCCAGAGTTTGCGTCCAGTGCAGGAGGGTTTGCGGCCCGGGGACCTCCCCACCCGGACGTTTCCCAGCCGCCCCCTCCATAGCGTCACAGACCTGCCAGCTCCCCGATTCCGCCTTAATTGCTTGCATTGTGCTCCTGGCCTAGAGGGAAATGTTTCCCACAGCAAAACTCAACGGGTTTCTGATTTTCTTATCAGAAATGTCACTCTGACATTGTAAATACCGACTGTGTCCCTCCAGTAAGGTGGCTTTGCTCGGGGCCTTCCTTCATCGAGAGCGATCTTCATTTATGACAACCGGGCCTTCCAAAAAGCGGGGGCCCCACACGGCCCCCACCCTCCAAGGTCAGAGCCAGCCGCACCCCGCTCACGCTCTGGGGAACAAAGCCGCAGCCAGGGCGACAAGGCCCCGGGAACAGGAGCCTGGTGCCAGCAGGGACCCAGCTGGTCCGAGAACCCACCTAAGATCAGGGGAAGGACGGGGCCCAACAGAAGGGGCCTCTCCCGGCACCATGGGCCAGAACGAGGGGACCCAAAGCTTTGCAACCGTGGAAGCCATCACCACCCGTGGGCTCAAAGGGGCAGAAGGAGGAAACAGTAACAGGAGCCCATCAGGCAGGGCATGGAAGGATCCAGCAACTTCCAGGGACACACCCCTGACCCCCCAATCCTCTCTTGGTGCTTGCTGGCCAAATCCAACAGTTCATTAGTCAGTCAGGACCTTCCCCCCGCCCCCGCCCCCCGCCCCGGCTGGGGTCCTCCAACCGGGTCAGCCCCCACGGGCACAGCAGGGTGCGGGGGGGGGGGGGGAGCCAGAGTAACAAGCATCCCTCCCCCCCGCCCAGCCACCGTGCTCTGTCCTGCTTCTACAGGCTCAGTCTGTCTGTCGTCGCTCAAGCCCGCAAGGCCATCGGTGAGCCCGAGAGCGCAGAATCTCCTTCCCTTGTCTTGCCAACTCCCTCTGGTCTCTTGACAGGTCCCTCCCGTCCCGTCCAGTGCACCTCCCACCTAAGTCCTGGTCCCGGCCACTTCGCGGAGCTGAGAGCCAATTGGTAATGGCTCAGGGGATTTGAGGGGTCAAATCCAGGATCCAGGGGCCCCAGATGGGCCCAGGGCCTCACAGTCTCTCCTGTGCCACGGGGCCAGGGCGTGGAAACATGGCCTTTCTCTACGGGTTCTAAACCCAGCGCAGCTACTCACCCCCCTCTGGCGGGTTATTCTCCACGTGGCTCCAGACGAGCCTTCTTCTAAAATCCATGCAGGGCGATGAGGCACGAAGCTAGAAGCCGCTGTCATTGTCCCCTTGTGGTAACAGGGTTGGTGGCGAGCCCGGCGCGACAGCAGGGACACGCAGCGAAGGCAGAGGGTTCTGCCCACACCCCTGGGTCGGGGAGGGGTGGGGGGAGACCTCGTCTTGTCTCGTGGGCGGCCCCCTCCTGCTTGCCTGCTTTTTGGGGTCCCGCGTGTGCCCACGGGGCGGGATGCCTGGGAAGAACGAGCCCCGCTGTCTATTCCGCGGATTCACAGCCTTGCCTGACAGCTCACAGTTCCGAGGCCAGGAAGTGCAGCAGAGTCAAGGCCCAATTACGGCAGAGGAGAGCCCCGGACAAAGGGCTAACTGTGCTAACAAGCCATTTTGGAAGGGCATTTCAGCCCGCCTGCTGTCAGGGAGGCAGCAACACCGGGCAGTGAACCGGCAGCCCCAGGCTGCGGCCTGGTGTTTGTCATGAATCTGTCTTGTTCATCAGTGTCGGTGACAAAAAAATAAAAAAATAAAAAGAGAGAGGAGGAAGACATCACGAGGCAAGGAAGCAATCTTCACAAGCGCCGTTCTGGATGGCTGCTCCCGGCCAGGCTCCAACACCTTCAGTGCTGTCCCCGCTGCCCCCAGAACGCGGGACAAGTGCCCTGCCCCGTACCCTCTTCTGGTCTCTGGGCCTCTCAGAGGGCGGTCTGGGTCCTGGGCACCAGAACGGCCCAGGCACTTGCTTAAAAGGCAGATTCCTGAGTGAGAATCTTGCGGGGAGAGGGCTGGATCCTGATGCTTAACCGGCTTTCCTGGGGGGATCTCAGCTCACTGGTTCGGTCACTGTCCTGCCCCCTGCCCCGTGCATCCAATCGGGAAGTGAGTCTGTGCCAGGCAGCGTGCTGGGGGCTGGCGAGGGTGGGTGAGCGCTCACCGTCTGCTCCCCCGGAGGAGCCCCTGGGCAAAGTTGTGCCGCACACAGCCGAACACAGGACGTGTGGCCGGAGCGCCCGCGCAGGGCCTGGGGAGGCAGCACCGGCGGGGCTGAAAGCCGCCTGCGCCCCGACTGTGTGGCCCCGGGGGAGTCCCTGCACCTGTCCCAGCCTCCGTGTCTTCCTCTGATCACACACACCCACCGCTCCTGAACCCGAACTCCGCTCCCTTCGGCAGGTGCGCAGGCAGGCGACCGTGGAAGGTGCTTCCCAAGGGAGTAGGAGCAGTTTGGCTGCGGTGCCCCAGGCTGAGAAACGCAGTGTCCGCACGGCCAGCGGCCTGGCGTCGCACAGGAGCGGGGCCGTGCTGCCCGCCAGCCCGAGCTGAGCTGGGGGGGTGGGGGGGGGGGGCCTGGAGGCATTTCCTTTCCTCACCTCCTGTCTCCATGTCTGCAGCCGGCATTTGCCGGGCTTCCGCTGTGCATTCGGGGGAACCCCAGAGCCAGGCCGGACTTGGAAGGAGCCACGGACAAGCGCTCGCGGAACCATAAGGTCACGTGACTAGGTCACGTGACAAGCCGCAGCCACGTGGCCGGCAGCCCAGAGGAGGGACATGCGCTGTGGGGCGGCGGCCTCGGCCAGGATTACTCCCCCTGTGGCTTGAAGGGTGAGCGGGCCAGCCTGGGCCAGGTGAGGCCATTAGCACAGCGCCCCCTGTTGAGTCCCAAGTACCTTTGCTGTTGGTGTCGGTTTCTGAGGGTCACTTTTATAAATTGTGGTGGAAACACACATCACGTAAAAGGTGCCACCTGAACCACTTTTACGTGTTCGGCTCAGGGGCATGGGGCTCATTCACCAGCGAAACCACCACGGCCGTCCATCCCCAGGACTTCTCCACCTTCCCAAACGGAAGCGCTGTCCCCGTGAAGCACGGGCCCCCGCCCAGCGTCCCTTCTGTGTCTCTACGACTGTGGCTGGGCCGCGTCCCTCCTCTGAGCGAGATCACGCAGTACTTGTCCTCCGTGGCGGCTCACCTCACTCAGCGTCGCGTCCCGCAGGGGCACCCGTGCTGTCGCAGCAGGTGTCGGAACGTTCTCCCTTTATGAGGCGGAATGACCCCCCACCGTGTGGATGGGCCACATTGTTCTTGTCCGCTCATCCTCCGGTGGCTTCTACCTTGAGGCTCGTGACTAATTCCGTTGTGAACGTGGGTGTGCACATACGCCCGGAGACGCCGCCTTCAATGCTGGGGGACCCGGCAGTGGAGCTGCTCCCCCCCTTCGTCATGCATCACGGCTAAGGGGCTCCGCGCCTTCTCTGCTCGCCCTCCACGCCCAAACCAGCCCCCCACTGGTGGCGCAGACCCGTCGTGAGGCGCAGCCTCTCTCACTTGGTGTGCACCCGGCACCTGTCTGTGGGTTATCCTCTTGGGCTGGGGTCTCCTCGCAGCCTTAACAATAAAAGGAAACCAAGGTTTGCACCTTTTCCTTAATTGCTCTAAATAAGCCCATCTCCGGTACTTCCGGGTACAGTTTTTCCCACTTGGCCGGCAAAAGTCTGTCCCCTCAGGCCCCAGTCGGTTTCCCAGGGAGCCTCGCTTGCGGAGAAAGCATCCTTCTCATAGGGCTGGGCTATGAGGACCGGAAAACGGGGCAGAGGCCTACGGGGTGGAGCCGGGTCGCCCCACAGCCAGCAGTGCCCTCCCAGGCCAGCTGTGCAGAAAGCGGAGACCGAGGGTGGCCCAAATCCACAGGGACAGCCGGGGGCCGAACGTGGCAGTGGTCTGAGAGCTTGGAAAGGGGGAGGCAGGTGCAGGGAAGGGGCTGGAGGTTCCCTGAGTCCTGCCCTCGCGAACTTGTTGAGAAGAAATCTCTGCCACGCTAAACCGGGTCATCTGGCACAAAGGCCCGACACAAGTGGCAGCTGAAGAGGAACCCAGTGCGCCGAGATGGTGGCCGGCTCGCGTCCGAGGGCGCCCGGGGTTGTTTGAGGGGCCCCACTCCCCTGTGTGTGACTCTGAAGGTGCCACCTTCAGGAGGTCGAGTCCACACCCCCCACCCTCGAACCCCCCTCCCCAGGAGCCTTTGATGCACTTTGACCAATAGAATTCAGTGCAAGAGATGTCCACGCCGGCTTGTCTGCTCACACCCGTTCTCTGCCCCGAGACCGCCACGGAGCCCATCCTGCCGACAGGAAGAGCGAGGCAACAAGAAGAACCGGGGAGCTCCAGCCCACAGCCACAGCTGGGCCTGACCTGGGGGCGAGGCAGCCAGGACCCTCCAGCACCAGCCTCTCTAGTGAGCCACTCCCCGTGCATGAGCCCCGCCCCTGAGTGAGCCCCGCCCCCTGCGTAATCCCAGCCCCTGCGTGAGCCCCGCCCCCTGCGTAATCCCAGCCCCTGCGTGAGCCCCGCCCCCTGCGTAATCCCAGCCACTGCGTGAGCCGCATGTGCGAGCCCAGCCCTGTGCATGAGCCGCGTGCGTGAGCTTCGTCGGTGCGTGGGCCCCGCCCCGTGCGTGAGCCCCGCCCCGTGCGTGGGCCCCGTGCGTGAGCCTCGTGGGTGAGCCTCATGCGTGAGCCCAGCCCCGTGCGTGGGCTCCGCCCCGTGCGTGGGCTCCACCCCGTGCGTGAGCCTTGGGCGTGAGCCCCGCCCCATTCGTGGGCCCCTCCCATGTGTGGGCCCCGCCCCCTGCGTGAGTCCCGCCCCGTGCGTGGGTCCAGCCCCATGTGTGAGTGAGCCTCCTGCGTGATCCTCACTCTGCGCATGAGCCCTTGCGTGAGCCCCGCCCCCTACACTAGCCACACGTGTGAGCCCCGCCCCCCGCGTGAGCCCCGCCCCAGCAAAGCAGCAGGGGGTCTGCCCGCCAACCCGGCGGGTCGTGAGGGACAAAGTCACGGTAGTCCTGTCGCTAAGGCGTGGCAGGGTGGTTGTCGCTGAGCCATCGGTAACCGAAGCTGGGGGCCCCGCCGCTAACCTGCCCCGTGGCTTCAGGACGACGTTCCGTTCTCCGGGCCTCTCGTGTCCTGCCATAAAATTCCAGGAGCGGAGGAGCGCAGAGCAGTAGGAAAACCCCTGGACTCCCGGCTCGGCCGCTTAACTAGCTGTGTGACCTTAAATGACATACCCTCTCTGAGTCTGGATTTCCTCACCTCTCGTGGAAGAGAAACACGCCCGGGCTGGATTTCTGCTTGGATTGACTGAAATAAGGTGTTTGGCAGTAAATACCGAGGCTTTATTACGGCTTCGCGCACGGACGCTGGAGCCGCGCTTTCTGGGTTCAAATCCTATGTGTGCCATAGGGGACACAGTGATGGGGAGGACAAGGAGAATTTAAAAGGTCGGTGTCCACAGGCGGCTGGGTGAGTGTTGCCTGTGGGGTTTTTTCACACCGTCTCCTGGACCTTCACCAGGGCAGGATCGGGGCTGAGGAAGCTGCCCGGGGGCTTTCCAGGTGACTCTCCAAGGTCACAGAGCTGACAAGCCCTGGAGGAAACATGTCTCCTCGGGCCTGCGGGACTCCAAGTCCGGATGGATCAGAATAATTCAGCGCCCGCGCCCTGCGCGCCTGCTCCGTGCTGGTGCTGGAGCCACAGGAACCAACGGGGGCCGCGCCGCAGCCCCGAGGGTTTAAGGAGGGCGGACACGTGCACAGTCACAGCGCACGATGAGGGCACAGAGAGGGGGCAGGACCCCGCGGCGGGCCCTGGCCGTCATGGAGGAGGGTGTCCTGAGCTGGATCCCGACGTGGGTACGACTGGGTCTGGGCCACGTGCCCTTGTGGGGGAAGGCACGCGTGTACAGGAGCTCAGAGTGTAAACGCACAGCTGGTGTGGACCCGGGTCCCGGGAGGAGGCTCCTGGGAGGAAGCGGGTCCTTTCCGCCCTCGAATGAAAGGCCAAGCTGGCTTCCGAGGGGCGACAGTGCCCAAGTGCCAGCCAGGCCCCTGGGCTTCCGGACCCCCTCCCCACCCTGCCACTGGCCACCCCCACCTGCGTCCAGGCTCCCAGAGCCCGCATCCGAGGCCCGGACTGGAGAGGTCTGCTCTTAAATGCTGAGCCGGCAGCTGACCCCGGCATCCCCCCATCTCACGGGGTTGGAGGGACACTTGGAGGTCGGGAGTCCAGCCAAGGGAGTCAAGTCGGGGAGCAAAAGGCCGGTGACTCCCCCCCGCCGAGGCAAGCGGGGTGCCCCACTTTGAGATGGGCTCTCGCCCTGCGTGTGCCTGGCGTTTGGGTCTGGGCGGCCCATCGCCTTTGGGGTGAGCTGCCCCCAGAACCCTGAGCCTCCGTCTGCTCCACACGTCTTCACCGACGGCCCCGCATAAATCACGATCCTCGACAAGCTTGCAGCCGAGCAGGGGCTGGCGGGGAGGGCGGAGGGGGGTATCCATCCCGGCTCTCAAATTCTCATCTCCAATCTCCTCAAGAAATCATTGAGAAAATCAAAACCCCGTGTTTCCAAGTGCTCTTCAAACTCACCGCAGTCAAACGGTTACCGTAAATCCAGAACGCAAAAGCCATACTTCAAAGGTTTACTGTTCCCCAAATGACAATAATGTCATATTGACCGACTCCTGGGGAGCTCTGGGAGTTTGGAAAAAGCCAGGCAAGCAAGCAAGATCTTTAAGTGAAAAAAAACAAAAACAAAATTGGTGAACTTGACAGTTTTGTTGAAGTTCACCGCATTTTCCCGGTGTCACAGCACTTTTGCAGGCCCTGACGCCTCCGGTGTCGGTAACGGCACCCCCTCCTCCCTGGATCTCGGGCCACCAGCCTCCCCCTGCAGCCCCCACCCCCGCCCCCGCCACTGGGGCCACGTTTCTGGAGCACAGATCCAACATTCCTGCCAGAAAGCTCACCGCAGCCTCTGGCGTTTTTCCCAAAAGAGACGACGAGGGTCCTTCAGCTTCTGGGGGCCCCCCACCAGCCTCCGCGGAGGGTAGCAGACACTGGCCACACCGAGGGTCTGGGAATCGCCATCTAGACCTGCAGTCAGCCGTTCCACAAACGTTCATTAAGTAGCTATTCTGCACCAGACCTTGGAGATGAGGCAGTGTTTACAAACCAACAAAGGGCAGCCAGAAACCCGTGCCCCCTGGTGGAGCTCGTATTCTAGAACGGGAGATGGGGCGAATCTGATAAATTAGTGACAGGCCGGACATCAATTTCTGGACGGTGGGAGCTGACCCTCGGAGACGTGGGCCTGGGGTATGGAGGAAGGGGTGTCGCATCCCTAGCAGGGAGGCAGACAGGAAGGGACGTGCTGCCCAGCGGAGAGCAGGACGCCTAGCTCGTGCACCGAATATCTTCCCTCCGAGCCGCCCCTCCCCCCGGGGCCAGCACAACCCTGTTCCGGGGAACAAGCCCGAACCCTGTGCCTCGGGACAAGGCAACGTGCAGCCAGATGTAACAATGAGACTCTTGCAACAGAAATGAGACAGAGGGTCCCCGATGGGTTTCCTAATCACACAGGAGGAGTGGCCCAGGGGGAGGTAGGAGGCGTGGAAGTTCCCGGAAGCAGAATCTGAGG